AGGCCAGTGAGGAGGCCGCTGGATTGATCGAGGCAAGAGATGATGGTGTCTCGAACAGGGTGGGAGGGCACATGGTGGCAGGGGGCGAGTTCTAACCTCACCTCCTTCCTCTCTGCCGTCAGTCACTGTATTCTATCCACACCGGCCTCATCATCGTTCTGCAAACATACAAAGGCCACCTCAGGGCCTTTGCACTTGCTGTTCCCTCTGCCTGAATGCTCTTCCGCCTGGATGTCCACACGCCTCATTCAGTCACTTCATTCAGCTCTTTACTCAAATGTCACATTCTCAGCAAACCTTTCATGGCCACTTACCCAAAATTTATACCACCACCCCCAGCCACATCTCTCTCTCTCTCTCTCTCTCTCTCTCTCTCTCTCTCTCTCTCCCCCCCTCTCCTACCTCCCTCCCTGGCTTTATTGTTTCCTCCTTAGTATGTTCTACTCTCTGATACCTTCACACTTTCCTTGCTTATCCCATGTATCGCCTATCTTCCCCAGTGAAACGCAAGCTTCATAAGGGCAGGATAAGTGTGAGGTCCGGTAGACACGAAAATGGAGATGTCCAGGCAGCAGTTGGATCTGTGAGTCTGTAACTAAGGAGAGAGGTCTGAGCTGTAATGTCAGTATTTAACGCCATGAGCCTGGGTGACATTGCCAGGAGAATGCAGAGAGAGGAGACTGCAAGACTAAATGAGGTGCTCCTACATTTAACAGCGGGGACACAAGGAAGGGGCAGCAAAGGAAGCTGACAAGGAGTGGAAGAACCAAGAGCTCCGCATCCCGGAAGCCAGGGTGGCATGAGAGGCATGCAGGAGGATGAAGGCCGTGTCCACAGGTTGGGGCCACCAGGGGAGAGGGGGCAGCACCATGAAGAGTGAAGCACAGATGGGAAAGAGGAGACAGCAGGTGTGGGAAAAATTGTCTTCCACGAAACTTAGGAAAGGGGAGCCGCACAGCAGGAGGTGAGCAGAGGGGGTGAGCAAAGCTTCACTGCTCCCCATCGCTCACATCACCGCTGAGCTCTGCCTCCCCAAACCCACCTGGTCCGTGGAAAAATTGTCTTCCGTGAAACCAGTCCCTGGTGCTGAGAAAGGTTGGGGACTGCTGTTTTAAAAGGATCCCCCCAACTGCTGTGTGGAGAACAGGCTTTGGGGACACAAGGGCAGGAGCAGGGAAACCACAATCAAAGCTGGGGAGGATTGGGGGGCCAACAAGCGTTGGTGATTGATGAGATTCCTACTGTGCACCAAGCAAGGTGTGGGGAGCGTAGCATTTAAAGGTGAAATAGACAGGAACTGTCAGTTCCCTACAGCATTTTTGGCACTGAGAAGTGAGTGTGAGGTGCTAGCGGGGAGGGGGAGAGGAGGAGTACAGATAACTCTACCAGGCGGGGAGGGCATGTAAGGGAAGCTTCCAGGTGGAGGTGCCATGGGAGCTGGCACTCCCAGGTATAGAGGAGGGGCATTCCGGGGTGATCATGTGCAAAAACCCAGAGGCAAGACGGGGGTGTCTGTCATGGCCAGAGCACACTGAGAGGTCAGTGTGGACACTGGGCTATTGCACATGAAGACAGACGTAAGACTGCGGAGAGACGCTGGAGCCACAAGAGAGCAGGGGCGGCTTGATGCTGGGTGCCTGGGTGGAGAGGTGGGGGAGGTACAGGAGGGCCTCCCTTGAGGGCCTCATTTTTAAGGACAACTGCTAAGGTGAGTTAGCAGAGCTCAACTTCACACCTGCTAGAGAGGCTGTGGGCAGCGTCGGGAGCGGGGGAGGGAGCCCGCTGGTGCAGAGAAGGAGGCTGCCTGGGTACTGAGAGAGAGTGGCCTTGGCCCCCAGCCCCCAGTCTGCCCATTGAGGCCTCCCTGTAGCTGGGATGGGGGCTGGCACCTGGGGAGGGATGAGGAGGCCAAGACAGGCGAGGCAGCTGGTCCACCCAGTAGCTGTAACTTAGAGTGACTGGGGAAGAAGAAAGCTGGTAGCGGCTGAGAAGGGGTTTGTCCACTGATGCCCCCACAGCAGGGCAACATCATAGGGACAGTGCCCATGGGCCAAGTGCCCATCCTCAGGGGTTCTCAGGGCAGTTCCCCATTTCACACTCATGGCACGCATTGTGGGGTGGGAAATACCCCTTTGCCCCTCTGACTCCCAGAGACCCCTGCAAGAGGATGTGAGCAGATGAGAGAATGCTGGGGGCAGGGGGGAGCTGGGAGAGTAAGGCAGGTGCAGAGAGGTGGAGGTGGCAGACTGGAGCCCTCCGTGTGGAGGTGGGTGTGGGGCTCAGACCTGCCATCTGTGAGAGGAAGACAGGAGAATCTCCGGGGAGCTGCCGCCTGTGGAGTCTGGAGCCCAAGGCACAGATGTTTGTATTTCTAGGCAACATGCCCGCACACGGCGGGCAGAGAGCAAATAAAACAAAGTTGTGGCAGATGCCATCGGGCCCCAACCCCCCACCCCCAGACCCTCAGTGCACGTTGACCAGCTTCTCACCCAGCCCCTGCCTGCATTTCTCTGCCCAGGGCTTTCTCTGCCCACCACAATCCTTGCTGTCCACCCACGTGGCAGGCAGGAAGTACGGAAAATGAATACCCGCAGGGAGCATCCCAGACAATGACCGATGGGAACGGGTGTGTAGATACCCCACCTCCCTCACCCCGCTGGTGGGATAACTCTGAGGTGGTGTTCTTCACAGCCGCCCACAGCTCCCAGTGGGACTAATCCCCATTTGCCCACAGTGACAACTAACTTGCTAACATACCCTTTATTGGCTTCCTTCTCTTCCCTGTGTCTTTCTCCCACGTCACTCCAGCTGTTTCATTTACCTCCAAAATTAACAACTTGCATTTCAATCCTTGTCTCAGAGTCTGCTTCTGGGAGAACCCAAGGTAAGATAAAACCTCAACAGGATACAGTGGGAAGATCTTGGGGTGGAAAGGCTGAGTTTGCATTCCAGCTCCTTGGCGTGTAAGGAACTCCCAGCTCATAGCAGACTTCTGTACAGGTTGGCTGAGCAGAAATTAGAATGTTAATGTTTGCAACAAGACCCAAGCCATGCTACAATATGCCACGTTGCCCACCAGTGCAAACAAAATCCATGCTGATAAAACGATGCCCTTTGGCCGCCTTCGGGCTCACCACTGGAAAGCATAGTCCACTGATGTGTCATCCTGGGCTAAATATAAAAGAATTGTAGCCTGAGTCAGAAAGCTATTTTCAGCACTCTTTCTTACTTTGTAGCCGTTGAGGGATGCTGGTCTTGAGGGCCACCTTCCTGGAGGCCAAGGTCAGCCCTGGTGGCCCCCACATTCCAGAGACTGCCCGACCCCTCCCCCAGGGAAAATCATCTCCTCAACACACCCTGAGTGATGCTCCAGCAGCCCCCAAAGCCACCAGGTGTCATCTGCTTCTTCTGTCCACTCTCCAGAGCTAGGAACTGAGTCCCCTCCCAGAGCTGAGGTCTCCTTTCTCAAAAGCCACAGAAATGGGAGGATGGGGAGTATTTCTTAAGTATTTATTAAGAGCCTGCTGAGTGCTAATTTATGAATCTTCACAAAATCCTTCCCAGAAAAATAATATTAAGGAAAGTAAGGAAAATAATATTAGGAAAGTAAGACTGACATGGCCAAATAACTGGCTCTGTGTCACGTGACCAAGGTTTGAGAAGCCTGTGCCACATGATGCTGTGTGACCCTCCTCTTCCTCCATGGTGTCTCTTAGCACCAGGAACTGTCTCTGTGTGGTGGGAGGTGGGTGATATGCATGTACATCCTCCGAGACCCCTAAGCTCTCTCTGAGGCCAAGCCCCGCACCCTTCACGCACATACACATGATCCTCAACTTACGGTGAAGTTACATCTTGACAAACCCCTGGCAAATTGGGAAATGGAAAGTGCATTGAGTACATCCAACCTACTGCACATCATCATAGCTTAGCCTAGCCTACCTTAAACGCGCTCGCAACACACAGCCCACAGTTGAGCAAAATCATCTCACGCAAAGCCTATTTTATAATAAAGTGTTGAATAGCTCATATAATTTACTGAATACTGTACTGAAAGTGAAACAGTTGTATGGGTACTCGAAGTCCAGTTTCTGCTGAACGTGTATCGCTTTCTCACCACTGTAAAGTTGAAAAATTGAGTTGAACCATTGTAAGCCGAGGACCGTCTATACTGAGCACCACCGTCACCCAACCTGCGTTTCAATGATATTTTATTCACTTGCTACCTAGGGAGCCAGGGCCATGTTTCAGGCCCCCTCACAGATGAGCCCAGCGCAGTGCCTGGCGTGGGAAAAACCCTGGTCAACACTTGATCACAGGGCTCCTTCCCCTTTCTGTGCTGGGGACTATTTACTGAAGCATCTGGTGAAGCCAATGGATCCCCTCTCAGAGTCATGCTTTCAAAACAAATACAAAGGATTGCAAATGAAACTGATTTTATCGGGAAAGTTGTCAAAACATTTTTACATGAAATTTGTGACTTAGCCATAAATGTGCTTCTACGTTAAGCATTAAATAACAAGATCTAGTGGTGTGTTCTCACGACTGTCATTCCAAATAGTGACAGAACACAGAGACTATTTCAAAACATCGGCAACAAATGAATGTGATAGGAAAATATCTGCGGGAACTGCTAGTGCTAGTTTGAATCATGTAAAACTGCCAATATTGTAGCAGTTTTGATCTACAAAAATGGTAATTTCACGTGGCCTTGTCTAACTCTGCTGTGGTTTGTTGCCTACCCTCCTTGAAGGAAATGATCAATTTCAGGTACAAGTGGGTAGAAATGAAGATTATTACAATATTTTTCTCTATCCAAGTTCATGGACCTCCTGAATTGTATCAGAGATCCCTTGTGGGGAGACACCTTGATTGCTCCTTGTCCACGACTCAAGTCAGGGTTCTCACAGGGTAGGGAGGGTCGCCTCTTTGTGCCCAGGGCCTGCCAGGACCTCCCCTTCCCCAAGCAGCTAACCAGTGTCGGTCTCTGTTCCCTTCAGGCTCCCTGTTCCCGCAGCTGAAGCCATCGGAGGGTGTCTTCAAGGTCATCTTCTGGCTCGGCTATTTCAACAGCTGCGTGAACCCGCTCATCTACCCCTGTTCCAGCCGCGAGTTCAAGCGCGCCTTCCTCCGCCTCCTGCGCTGCCAGTGCCGGCGTCGCAGGCGCCGCCGCCCCCTCTGGCGTGTCTACGGCCACCACTGGCGGGCCTCGACCGGCGGCCTGCGTCCCGATTGCGCCCCCAGCCCCGGCGTCGCGCCCCCCGGGGCCCCGCTGGCCCTCACCGCGCCCCCTGACCTGGACCCCGACCCCGACCCCGACCCCCCAGGCACGCCTGAGGTGCGGTCCGCGGTCGCCAGCCATCGAAAGCCGCCTTGCGCCCTCCGCCAGTGGAGTCTGCTCGGGCCGTTCCGGAGACCCACCACCCAGCTGCGCGCCAAGGTCTCCAGCCTGTCGCACAGGATCCGCGCTGGGGGCGCGCAGCGCGCAGAGGCCGCGTGCTCCCTGCGCTCGGAGGTGGAGGCCGTGTCCCTGGGCGTCCCTCACGACATGGCCGAGGGCGCCACCTGCCAGGCCTACGACGACTACAGCAACCTCCAAGAGACTGATATTTGAAGACCCCTTGAGCTAGGCCCCTAAGCTGAGCTGGCGGGGAGGGAGGCTGGCTTTGTTCAAGAGGCCCGTGTAAATCAGGGACCCGGAAAGTGATCAGGGTAGCGGCTCTGTGGCATCCCTGAAGTACTCGGGTGGGGCTTGGGGCTGGAGCCCTTGAAAGAGCTCCAGGACACTGGTGCCCTGGAGCTCTTCCTTTAGGAGAGAGGGGCTGCAGGCTCCGTAGGGCCATTTGCTCCCAATCCGTTATTTGAGAAACACTGCCCCATCCACCATGCCCTGAACCCTGAATAGACAGCCCCAAGTTTGGCCGGGCAGCAGGCACAGAGGCCTTGCCTGGTTGCCCCCAGGGCCTCCCCTAGGAAAAAAGTGGGGCCATGGGGCTCCTCCATGGACGTAATTTCTCCTCACTGCCGACTGGAGAAACCCAGTGGACCTGCCACCACCACCCACAAGCTTTGGTGGCAGATAGGATGGCCGTCATACAAACCTGTTGTATTTACCCCTGGGCCCACTGCCCCCTACCCAGGCGCCTCCATGCACACCCCATGACCTGGCCCTGCCCCTCCTTACTTCCCCTCAAGGGCCTTACTGTTTACACTGTACATAGCTCATTGTGCCTGTGCCCATCACTTCTTGCTGGGATTCCAAGCCACCAACTGGGTGAGGCTTTGTCTGTCATTTTGAGACATATTTATTGGTAAGAGTACTTCTATTTTGTCCAAACTGTGCAGACTGTCCCTCTTTAGCCCATAACCCATAAAGAACTACTTTTTTTCCCTAAAATCCTTCAAGTACTAAAGGCCCACAACAGGATAGATTGGTTCTGCGTTCGCTTTTCTAGTTTCAACTTAATTGGCTTTTTAACTGATGGCTGCTGTCCTTTAGGACTTTTAGCATGACCAAAGGATTTGGAGGTTTTGTTGGCTTTTAAAATTCACATGATCAGTCTTGGGAACCAGATAGTGATCATAAGCACAAATTTTCCCTTTGTCAGTCTCCCCAGATGCATCTGTGATGCTCTGAGGGCCCCAGTGAGAAAGGCAGCCATCAGTTAAATGGGTGAAATATTACATGAAAAGATACATGAGCCCAAGTAGACAGGTATACGTGGCTAGTAAGAGGCCCCATACCTAGGAACCATGCTTGTTAGCTTTGAGTAAAATGCCATATTCCCACTTGTCATATTCCCACTGAATTGCAGGCAGTTCAGTCTTCAGCTGAATAATATCAACCCTATATATCCGACCAGCATAGGAGTGATGGCTGTGGCCCAGTGGACTCTTGGAACAAGAGCTGGTTAAACAATGCCCTGGGGTGTCTGGGGGTGCTCTGAAACTGGAAGAGCCAGCTGCTGCGGCCAACACGGGCCAGTATTTTGAGCCAAGAGTTTTCATCTTGTGCTAGGGAGGTAGTGTGTTTGAAAGGTCATGACATTTTCAGGCCTCTCACCCAAGTTTATAAGGTTAAAAATGCAGCCAATATCACAGCTTGGACAGAGACATTTCACACAGTGGGTCTACAACAGGTCCGGGGCTTTCAGGCTCAGCATCCCCCAAAGGGCAGTTTATGGCTAGGAGCATGTTGGGTGCTGGAAGCAAGTTGTATACTCCAAAGAGGGCCCTACTTTGTAGCACACAGGCTTCCCTAAGGCTGGGGGTGGTGGGGGACAGCCTTCACTGTCCTCTGACAGAGGGACAGAGGTAGGGGCCACTGATCAAAACAGTGGTCAGTGAGGGGGCAGGCCCCAGTGTCAAAGAATTGAACATTGGCCTCCTGGGCCAGGGTGAACCAGACCTGCTTCAATACAGGCTTGGGATTGGGGAGGGTCTCTGAGCGGGAGAATGTTGAGCCCACAGGAGGTCAAGTTGGGGGAGAGGGGAGGTAGAAAGGGAACCTTCATCAGGAGGATTTGGGGGCCTCTCTGCCCTGGATAATCCAACGGGAGTGGAGGCAGGAGGGGCCACCAGCTGCCCTGTACTTGCTCTCAGCATGGTGATGAATCTGCAGAACGCATCTGATGTTCAAGCCTCGGCCCCATCTCCTGGGCTGTGGGCCCTCTGCACACAGCTGCTCCACCTGTACCCCCGCACCAAGCACTGAGCTTACAGGAGGTGCGGGAGGGCTGCAGAGCCCCCAGAGAGGCCATGCCACAGTAAGGGCATCCAGGGACCTTGTTCTCATCATCAATAAAGCCCTGTGCTGCTGACCTTGGTCTTGGGACATGGCGAAGGGCCATAGAGTGGCCAAGAAGAATAGCAGAAACAGCAACAGCCCTTCTGGAGGAGGGAGCTTCTTGCAGGTGATTTTGGGAACATCTGGAAGAAGTGCATTCACTGTGCCATTTCCCTGGGCCCTTGGGTGCCTCAGCCCCAAACTGGCCCACACAATGTTCAGGGAGACTGTCTCCAGAGGCATGTAAAACCTGGGCCTTGTCTGCAAGGAGTAGGAGTTTTTTTTACATGACCTTCAAGGGATGGGGTGAGGCCTGAGGGAGTGTGTGAGTGGGAAAGGGATGGTCCTGTGAGATGTGACGGCGACAGAAGCAAGCCTCACATGGACACTGGTGTTCATGCAAGTGCCTCATTCCTGCTTCCCACCGAAGAACCCCAGCTCCAGTCTGCCCCGCCTCCAGAGCTGTGCTGTTGCCACCCACCTTGCCTTGCTTCCCACACTCTTCCCAGGACCTCTGTCCCCAACATCCCCAGGGCTGCTTTTGCAAGTCACCTGGGACCTTCCATTTCCCTGGTCTCCTCCTCTCCGTCTCTGCGGCAGGCCACACTGGTGGCCGCCCCCTGCTTCTTGAAATGTCCACGCCCTGCCTCTGGGCCACGCCCCTGGGATCTCTTCTGATCTTCTGACCTGCTGACCACACTCTCTCTCGGCCTCCTCCGCAGGCTCCTCGCTCCACCCTTAAATGTTCCCCAGGGTTTTATCCCTCCTTTTCTCCACTCTCCGCACAATCTTGTCCACTCCAAATCATCTCAACAACCACTTAGACATAAATGACTCCCAAGGGGCCGACTCCAGCTCCAGATGTGCGTTCACCCTCCCCCGGATGATCTCCAGACACCCCAAATACAAGCCTCAAGGCCACTCACCTCCTGCAAAGCTGCCTCGTCTACTCCATTCAGGCACAAAGATGCCACCAGAGCTGTCGGTTCAGGCCCCAGAGGCCCCTGAGCCTGCCCCACCCTGTCCACTCTCCGTCTTCCAGACTCTTCGTCGTCCTCCTCACACTCACAGATCCCCTGCTCCGAACTGAGCCCTGCACTTCCTGCAGCCTCTCTGGCGGCTCACGTCCAGATCATTCCGGGTTAGAGTCCACGGATAGAATCTACATCTTCATCCACCACAGGGGAGAGCCTCTCTGTCCCCAGGGAAGCTCAGACCGGCTTAAGTGCTTATTAAATACTGGATCTGATGAGTTGGCCCACTGACTCTTCCCTGGGACACTGCCTCATTGCCTACCTGGTGGCTGGCTCAACGTCACCATCCTCACAAGACCCTCACCCCTGCTGTCCCCACCAGTCTTCCTACAACCGGAGAGCCAGGTGCACCCTGGGCTGTGGCAGAACACACCCCTCCACGAGCCCTCCAGTCCACCTAGCCCTGCCACCCCACCCCCACGGCCCCTCACCACCATGCCACAAGCAAGTCCTTAGTCCCTCCTGCTCCAGGTGCTGACAGGCCCTGGGGAAAGGTTCGAGACCTTGGCCACCCTCCCCTCAGTGGCCTGTCAGAGCTCCGACTCCTCAGAGCCCTCCTGCCCCTGTTTCTGTTCCCATCATATGACACGCACAGAGGTTACACGTTCACCGGCCACTTGGAAAGAATTTCCTTTTTTTTTTTTCTTCTTGTGGCTCCAGTAAAGCATAAAACCAGATGCTTGTAAAGGCTAAACTAGTCCGCAGCCTCTCTGCTCCAAGGGCTCTCTGGGGACCCCCAGGAGGTGCTGGGGGTGGGGCCTTTGGGCTGGGGGTCTTGGGGGCCTTTGTGTTTCTTCCCTTCCCCTACCCCTTGGAGGGAACAGAAAAGCAAAGGGGATGCCAAACGGGACCCCAGCCTACATGCTCTGGTCTAGGGAGGAACTAAATGGAAATTGCAGGATGCACTTGGAGTCAAAAAGAAATCCAGGAGTTGGGGCCACACCAGAGCTTCCAGAGCCAGAAGCCGGGGGAAAGGATGCCTTGGAGGCATCTACAAGCGCCTCCGTTACATTCCTTCCAGGACGTTTCTTCCAGGATTCACTATTCACATGACTCCCATGCTGTTTTTGTCCACCTCTTTCAGTCCTGCCAGAAACCAAAAAAGGAATCTCAGTTCCTTTTCCTGAAAGCGGGAATCAAATTGGTCCCACTCATCTTTTGAGCCAACCCGCAGAGGTCGTGGGTCACTGGCCAGCCTAGGGACTGGCTAACTCGGTTCAGTCTGAAGAGCGGGGCGGGCAGATGGGAGTGAGCTGGCTCAGTGGGACAAAACACTGCAGTCTGGGCACCCTGCAGTCTGGGTACCACGCCTTGGGGGAACCACGCCTTGGGGGAGGGACAGATAATGACTGACTCCTCCAGCCCACAGAACCAGCAAAAAAGCACAGCCGCAAGCAGTAAGGAAGTTGATCAATAGCTGCGCAAACCAGGGGCATTATTGTCTCACTTGACAAGTTACGAGGTAGGTGTTGCTGGTATTGCCAGTCAAGGACCCAAGCTCACTCTATTCGCTTCAAAGTCTTTGGCGTGTTGGTTTCTGTCCTCTTTGTTGCCCCATCATGATCAATGACACCAAAACTCACGTTCTTGTTCAAGGCAGAGAAAGGAGGAAGGTCTGGGCTGTAGCATCTGCCTCCTTTTATCCCGACAGCAAAAGCTTGCCCAGAAGGACCCCTCTGCCCGCACACCTCCCCTCAGGGTCTCTGGGCCACAGCTGGAAACAGAAGAGCAAGTTAAACTCAAAGCAAACAGAGGCAGGAAATACTAAGGATAAGAGTAGAAATCAATGACATGGAAAACAGGAAAAGAACAGAGAAAAATTAGTGGAATAAAAAACTGATTCTTTGAAAACAATTAATAAAAGTAATGAACCTTTAGCAAGCTGAACAAAAAGAAAAAAGCAAGAGAAGGCCCAAATTACCAATATCAGGAATGAAACAGGATATCACTACAGATCATGCAGATATCAAAACCTGTGGAATGAAGTGAAGGCCATGATCAAAGGAAAGTTTATAGCTTTAAATGCATATGTTAGAAAGGGAAAAAAGCTAAAATTAATAAGTTAAGCATCATCTCAAAAAGAAAAAAAAACAGAACATTAAGCTTAAAGAAAGCAGAAAAAAAATTTATAAAGATAAGAACAGAAGTTAATAAAATTGAAAATTCACTTACAAAA